AGCAGCGGTAACCGAATACCGTGAGGACGGGTGCTTGCCCAGCGCTCTGGAGCTGAGCAGCACTGGGGTAACCGGTATAAAAGCCAAGCCCTGTTCTACAACGCAAAATACCACAACTACTTCTTCAAGCCAGCATCGCACGCAGCACCACCGGCTGCACAGAGCTGAATTAATTCTTTTCTTGACCCCTATGTTAAACATTTTGTGGCCTCTGGTGAAGCCAGGGTCCCTCTTGCAGCAGTGAGAGCCAAAAGGTGAGGTCTGGGGTTAACCCCGGTCCTTGCACGCAGAGGGATCCTTACACCGGCGTTAAACCAGGCTCAGTGAACTGGTACCAGCACCAGAGCTCCCCAGGTGCTTTTGCCAAACTCTGGCCTAGGCGCAGCAGCAAAGCAACACCCCAGGGACTGCTGGGACCAGTATCACCGGCCCTGCTGGGTTTGCCCGCTGACAGCTTCTCCAGGCTGCCGTGTGGGGCGAGGTGGCCTCAAACCGCCAGGTTACCCCTGGAATTGGAGACCTGCGATAGAGCTTGGCGCGTGTTTTGTTACAAGGGAGAAGCGACCCAAATCGGCATCTCGGCTCCGAGTTGCAGATGCAGGTCTGAACTGCATACCCCAGAGCGAGCAGCTTCGGGGGGGCAGCCTGGCCTCCAGGATTTGGGCTTTCCACCCACCGGCGTGGAGATCCTGCCCGCAGCAAGCTGCAAACTTGAGCCGGGTACCGAGCCCCAGCTCGGAGACGCGTTGCGTAGGCTGCTGGCTCATCCCCTTCTTGTCAACGTAAGACTCTTCCCCGCGCCTTATCTGTTTAAATGCTACCAAAATGAATCCAGGCGTGATTTCTAATTAGAATGCAGAAAGGTGCGGGCCAGGCGGCAGCAGCAGCGGTGTTCAGTGCAGGCAGTTCTCCTACAGAGGGCAGAGGAATATCATTAATTACCATTGCCTCCAGCAGCCTGGCGCCTTCCTGCTACCCACCAGCTTCAGCCGGGGGCTGGGGGTCCTGGGGGGGCTCCGTGGAAGGAGACGACTGGAAAACCCCAAACATCTCCCCCCCCTCCCAAATACCTTATGACCCTCCCTAGAAAGCTGTGTGATCTTGTGTGCTGTGAAGACAATATACAGCTCAATTTATATAAAGACGAACGTTTACTAAAGACGCACGTTTTGGTGCAAACCGACCCCTTGGATCTGATGCTGTCGGGTATTCCGATCCTATTTCAACTTTTTGTAGTTTGTATTTATTTTATCACGGTATGACTGACACCTATAGTGCTCTGCATTATATATTACAGGGCTTTGCCATTGCTGCAGCAATGTGAAATTAAGCGCTGCTATCGTATTTTTTACTAGGACATAGTTTTATAGAACAGGCGATGTTCACAGGCTGTCTGCCCTGGCTTTGTTTCTAGGATTATTTTTTTTTTCTCCTTTGAGCGTATAGGTATTTTGTTTCCAGAGTAAAAGATGCCATTATAAACAAAGGGAGGAGCCTGGAGAAATAAATCTATAGAAAATGAAGTAGCAGAAACAAGTGCTCACCTGAACGGTTCCCTAGGAGTAACTAAGCACTTGCTAAGCCAAAGAACCGGTGCCAGGATCCCCCTGCACAACTGCATTTTCAAAACTCTGCACTCTTACAGAGCGAAAAGGGGATAGTCTCTAACCTAACAAATAATAAATGGCCCTATTAATAAAGGGAGAGAGGCTTTTAGCGATGGTTAAATAAAACATAGCCAATATAATTCATAAAAAACACACAGTGAGTTGCATTGGTCCTTTTGAGTCAAAAATGGGCTTCTTGAAGTCAACGGCATTTTTGCCACTCACGCCAGTGAGATGGGGGTTTCACCCCCCGAGACTGCCGGGGCAATCGTTCGGTATAACCCCCCAATCCAGCGATGCATTAAAATTCACCTGGGTACAGCTGTAAACTCAAGGGGTTCTGCCAGAGCCCACAGACCCGTTTCTTTTCTGCCCTGCTTCCGCCACTTCCATCAATACAAAACAAACCCGAATTTTTGATAAGGAGGTTCAGCCAATATAAACCAACACCGCACGGAAAACGCAGTGCACGAAGGCCATGGGTTGTTAAAGTGTTTCAGCACCAGAGCCGCCTCCTTCGCGGTTTATTCTCTCTCTTTTGCCTTTCACTTAGCAGGGTAATTAAATCAGGCTCTCGGGCTGGGTTTTAATTTCTGGTTCACATGCCCTCAAACCATGCTGCCGTGGTCTGGACTCATAATCATGCGGGGGAATATTTGTACAAAAAATATATCAATACGTTTTCATTTAAGGCGGTCGTGAAAGCCTTTTTATGCATCACGGTACGTTCTGCAAAACCCTCTGCCTATTTATAAACTATAAGCAGGAGGCATCAAACTAACGGACATCATTTCTTTGGCATTCTTCCTCTTAATTTTACTTTTTTATTTACATGCCTATTTGCTAAAATGGAAATAACACCCTAAACACAGGCCAGATAAGCAAGGGAATTTTGAACAGCCTGTACTACAAGAAAGCACTCTTCATTTCTCACACTCAGCTTCTTTTGCCCCCGTCTGTTTGCGGAGCCTGTCATCTCCTAGGACATTGTCAGATTAGACGGTAGCTTCGGCAGTGAAAGACCGTATCATCCTCGTGCGCCTGTATAATTACAGGTTATTAATGCGGATCCATTTTTCAGAGCGTTTCTTTACTTAAATATATAAAAAACACACACACAAAAAAAAAAATTGGTGGCAACGTGAAGCCATTCAGGCACCGCCACCGAGTAACTCGCTGCTCGCCTGCGTGCCCTGCGCTGGGCAGCGCTCGGCCTTGGGTCTCCACCGGGACGAGCAGCGCGGTGGGCGCGAGGCGGGCACCGATCTGCGACGGGATTCCCACAGAGATCCGCGGGAATTACCCCCGCCACGGTCGCGTCTGCTGAATTTAATTGAATTGCATTAGCAACAGCAGAATTTGACCCATATACGGAGGACTGCGTGCCGTCCAAAAATAGCTACGAGCCGGAGCTGAGCTTATCTTTTCCAACATTTTGGCTAGCAAATGTCATTTTGCCAGACCAGCCTTTTTTCATTTCAGTCACAGCATTTCACTTGAAGATTTTCTTTTTAAATCAGCAACACAACTTGCCAGTGAAAAAGAGAAAAAAAAGAAGAGGAAAAAAATTGGGGAGCAGCAGCGAAGAGCACACATAAACCCTCCCCCCTAAAGCAAATTACGTA